ACGATTTATGGCCTTATAATGTTTTTGGACGTAAAATTTCCCGCTCTTTCGATTGCCGACATCAAAAAAGGGGGTTTCCATTTAAAAAATTGAGCTGACCTTGAAATAACCTTCAAGGTCATCGTCAAATCCAAGGTCACCATTGAATTCCTCGTCAAAAGTTACTACAAAAGTGACCTTAACATTTTTAAAAAATAATTTACCTGGGAAATTATTCAGGTGTTTCCAGACTTTTTGGACACCCTGTATATATATAAGGTGTAGTAAAAAGAAATCCATTATTTTTGCATGAAATTAAAGGTTTTATTTAGCACAGTTAGAATGGTCCGATTTAGGTCAAATATGCACGGTTTTGTTCGATAACTTGTTGCCATTTTGAAGGTAATTCCATTATGCCTCTCTCATAGAAACTCTTGTCTCTATTGACAAAAAACTGGGACAGTCGATTTTCACAAGCTTCTCTTGAGGCGAATTTTTCACCAAAAAAATCATTCGCCATAGACAGGAACAGGTGGTAATCACTTAGTGCCAGGTCCGGACTATAAGGTGGATGCATAAAAACCTCCCAACCAAGCTCCCGGAGCTTCTGGCGAGTCACTATCGATGCGTGTGGTCTAGCGTTGTCCTGATGGAACATAATTTCTCTCCTATTGGTCAAAGCTGGCCGCTTCTGGGCGATTGATTCCTTCAGACGGTTCAATTGTTGACAGTACAGGTCCGAATTAAAAGTTTGGCCGTAGGGAAGCAGCTCATAGTGGATGATTCCCTGCCAATCCCACCAAACACACAGCAAAGCCTTCCTGACCGTCAATCCTGGCTTGGCCACCGTTTGCGCCGGCTCACCGCGTTTCGACCACGACCGTTTTCGCTTGACGTTGTCGTAAGTGACACTTTTCATTACCAGTCACCATCCGCTGCAGAAATGGGTCGATTTTGTTGCGATTCAGCAGCGATTCGCAGATGGAAATTCGGTCCATGAAGTTTTTTTGCGTTAACTCGTGTGGCACCCATACATCAAGCTTCTTTTTGTATCCAGCCTTATTCAAGTAGTTCCAAACGGTTTTTTGTGCAATGTTTAGCTCCTGGGCAATCGAAACAGTGCTTACATGACGGTCGGACTCGACGATTTCCATTATTTTATCGACATTTTCGACAATTGGCCTTCCAGAGCGTGGTGCATCTTTGACATCAAAATTACCGGAACGGAATCGACGAAACCAAAATTGCGCGTGATTGGCTGTTGTAATTGGTGGGTAGTATCAGGACCATAAACACTATTCACATTTTCAGCTGCCTGGCTTACGTTTTCGCCTTTATCGAAGAAAAACTGTAAAATATGGCGTATTTTCTCTTTGCTGGTGTCCATCTTTGACGCGCGCTTAAACAATACTGAGTCAAACAATCATAAAACTATCTGAGAAGTTTATTTAGTACGAAATTTTATCTTTCTAACGCCATCTAGCGTAAACCGATCGCACTTATACAACGCGAGATACACATTA